TAAAATCAATAGTTTTTAATAAAAAAAAATCAAGCTTTTATTCACAAGAAATTAGAATTTTAATATAACAATTATTACTTTGATACTTCTGACAAACGGCCATCTAATCTTACACTACTAAAGCCGGGGCTACGGTGAGTGAACGTCTCTAACTATTAAGAACTGTCAAACAGGCAAGACTAATAGCATAAACTAAAACGTACAAGTCAAAAAAAGACATTATAAAGATTACTCAGTACCTAAAAAAATTGTCAACAATATGCTACGATCAGAATGTATCGCCTAAACTTATCATAAAATACACAGTAAAACTTTATCCTATTTACATTTTGAATTCTATTCAAATCATAAAAGTATGCTGATTTTATCTGAAAAAGTAACGTATGTTTATCATAGCTTTTTGCGCATTCCAGGCTTTAAAGGAAACTGCCTACTTATATCGGTTTACGTCTGGTTATTGAACGTGAAACAACTATATAATCAGTTTTAATATTATCACAATAATAATACTTTTATTACGTTATTGGAAGCTCCAATAATGCTTACGTCGAATATACTTTTATTAACGGTTAACGCGTTAGGTTGACGAGCAGATTTGTCAGTTGCTAATGTGCACCCACCCATGAGGTACACTTTCTTGTAAGTGTCTGCCCTTTGTGTGCTGCTATATATTATGGTATATTATGGTATATTATTACTCTTGGTCTTAAATTTGTATGTGTATTTGTAAATTTGATTGCTATATGATAATAACAAAGAAAAACTGAAAAATTACTGCAAAACAAAACAACTATGTATACACCTGTCTAAATATCTTAAAGTCTTTCTGGTTAGCAAAAAATATTCTCCACCCTACTCGTAGTTTTAGTAAATAGCGGTATCAGAATAAACCGGGATAGTGAAAATAATTAATATTCTGACGCGGAGGATGAGCCTTGACCCAAATTCATGTGTCTATTAGTTTGATTTTGTTAAATTGTGACAAAAGCATCGTTTACCGTATTGCTTTGTATGAATACACATACGAAAAAAAAAGTATTAAGTAGAACCAGTTACATTATAGTTTTGTTATTGACAACCGGATGTTATTATAATTTGTGGAAAAACTGGTACTATATTTATTTTTCTGTGCGGAAATCCCCTCGGATACCACACACCGATGGAGTGGTTATGTCGGACACGAACAGACTAAAACCCGCACGCCGTTTCCGTTACCAGTAGCCGGGGAAGCAGATGCACCCTAGGAAGGAAATTTCTGGTACCGCTAATCTCTGGTACAGATAACTTTCCCTCATACTGAGGTAACACACTTGTGTCTCTTGAATTGCATGTATTAATGGGTATACATGCCCCTTTAGAATGCTATATAAAAAAAACTTTATACATATAGCGACAAGATCTTGTTTTAAAACTATACTTTTATTATACATAGGACGTTGCTAATACACATGTCAAATTAGTTCAAAACAGCTTTTTGGCATAAATAAATTAAACAATGTTAACTCTATTATTGAATGAAGGCTTTTATCTTAATTAACATTGTCACATAACACCCTTTTTAGCAGTATTTTCATGACGGGAAACTAATATTTTCTTTTTTTTCGTATGAAGCCCACGGCTAGTCGCTTCCGCAGAGCCAAGAATGAAGTGTTATGTGGGACTCTAATCGACTAAAAAAAGTGAGTTAATTGCTCTGACTCATCACGAGAGGCCTATGTCCAGTAGTGGACTACTAAACGCTGTTAATGATGAAAATGATATATATTAAGCTTTTTAGTTTCTTGCTTAGTATAGCAAAACGATATAGTTCAATCATTAATGTCAGAAATTATTACACAAGCCCCTTGATGTAGCTCGATTCCTTCGTCCATCTGTATTAGTCAGCGTCTATATTGCGTAATTGTGATGAAGAATGCTCTAGTTCATTGGCATGGCGTAGACAAATTGTTGAAGTCAAAGGTATTTACGCCGCTCACGCTTAGAATATTATTATGATGAATACGTTTTCTTATAGGTTTAATACCTATACTTATATACGTACTTACTACCAATTTAGAAAGCAATAATGTATATATTTTAATACCGTTGCGGAGGTTCAACAGTAATCGGTAAGTTTTTAGGTTAAAAGTCCCGCATAAGATTCGGTCTTTAGATGCTAGAGAATATAGCTAAACCAAAAACAAGTCTTAATTTTATAATCGTAAGAGTGATAATTAAGTGGTAGTCATCTCTAAGTGAATAACGAAACCTCTAGTTGTCATAGTGTTATTTTCTGTTGAATAAATAAGAAAATGTTTTCATTCCCAAACTGCTGTAATTAGTCTCCAAAACTTTGACGTATAGCACGTACCATTGTATACCTACTTTAAAAATATTGGGTAGATATTAAACCGTGGATTAAAGCTTGGTTTGTGAATACACTGGATTTAAAATGGATAAGTGTAATGTTGTATGTTCAGGATGTGTATTTATTCCTAGTACCATTAATCTTAATGGTAAAGTAAACTGTGAGTAATTGTTTGTAAAGATATATTGCTTCTGATAATGATCGTAAAAATATTATAATAATAACTTAATACGTCTTATTATCACGACCACGACACAAAGCAAATGACTCATCACAAAATGTTTTTTCTTGGGTGGGAGTCGAGATCACTAACCAATAAACCAATAAGTCATTTAAAATATTTAAACACTGATGTAAAACGTTACATTATTGTGTTATTAAATGAAATTTTAAATTATATATCGATGTAGCAAAACGAGTATCAAGATCTAATTACAGAAATGGGAAACAGTTAATCTTGGCACAGGATTTAACCCACATCCCGTATAGAAATTGATAAATATGTCGCTCAACTTATCTTAGTAGGGTAAAAGTTTTCGTTTGGAAAACTGTTTATAGGCTATTGCAATCGTTTGAGGTTACTTAGTGAAAAACTTTTGTATTACACGTATTCACACTATTTACATAGAAGCACGAGTGGTGACGGATTAAGAATACAGAGTGTCACCACCCATGTTCACATCCCGTGGGTGTCGTAAGAGGCGGCTAAGGGAGGAAAATACGCAGAACAACAGCACTGCAAAGAGAAGGAAAACTTGACATAAACCCGATAGCAACCCGTCTGGCCAGCGTTGTATAGTAGGCCAAAACCTCTTTTCTAAGCCTATATAGCCCAGTGGACTATTAAAGGCTATTGATGTGTGATGATGACTAGTTCAATAACTAATTCATAAAGCCCTTCCATTAGCACCCTCTTTATTATCATCATCTCCCTGCCTGTTTTTTTTTAGGGTTGACTAAGGTGGCGTAGATGTATCATAACCAAAACGTAATACAGCAAACATTCCTTTTTTTACACTAATGTAAGCAGAACTGTTGTGAGTACAAGACTGGGGGAATCTTACAATTGAACATTGAAAAACAACTCACGTATGAATGTCAACACAAATGTGGACACGCTGGTCCCGAATTTATTAATCAAAATGCTTATGGCGGTCCAGTTTTGTTGGACGTTCATTCCTTACATAAAGAAACTAAGTCAAGAGTTATAAGAAAAAACATTCTTTATTCATTTATTTTAACAGGTTTTCTTTTGGTTTTTTCGATTCGAAAGGTTTCGACATAAATTTATGTAAACAATACTCGTACATGTTTATATGAAATATAGTTATATTATCAATGTATTTCAACTCAAACTCAACTCTCGTGTAAACGGGGCCAATATATGTAGATACTTATATACGTAGGTGTCGGTAACGGTAACACTGTCGCGAGTTCATTGGTTTTTCCCATCTCAAAAAATACATTCTTTTGCTTTTCGTTCAAAAATCTGCAACGCACCTAAAGAAGTTTTCACTTCAAAAATAGTAAGATAAAATTTTGATATTGTTCATGTTACACATGTCCTGAGGGCTCATTCATACTGAAATATGTGTTCTAGAATGACACAATTTTATTATTACGACCTAATATTCAATATCGTGGTAGCATATTTACGGAATCAGTTTTCTTTTGCGCAATAAGTTATTAAAAAAGTATACGATCCGCAATGTGATACCTCGTCACATGGCATACAGTGTAGTTGATCAGCTGAGTTATAGGTGTAGTTATACACGGGCTTGGGTCTTGTTTTTGCAGTCCACCGATTAGATCCATGCTCTCAAGGCCGGTTGCTTCGTACGGCTCAATAGCCTAATGGACGGTCATTCGCCACTCAGATCGTCGTTGAGCGAGTTCCTGCCAGTCCTCACACGGAATGTCGCAACAGGACTTCCCTGTAACGTAGGAGCTTTCCCCCCTTGCTTGCGTTTTCCCAAACGGAAAGTTCCGAGAAAAAGGCACATTTGGGAAGTCTTGAGTCGCTCATACGCACTAGATGAATGCACCATCTGAGCTGCCCCCTCCCCCCCCTTAGTAGAGACTCCATGTCCATGATCCCCGTTCGGCGTAGGATCTCTGAGTTGGGGACATAGTCTTACCATATGACGCGCAGAATGGACCTCAAACACTCCATGTGGAAAGTGTCAAGGCGCTTTATGTCACTCCTGGCAGGCGCCAGGTGTCAGTGGAGCAATATGGGGACTATAATTGCTCTGTATACAGCTATTTTCATGTGGAGGCGCAGGTCAGACAAAGCCTGTTAATTTGCCGAAGCTGCGACGGACGATAACAATCTCCTATCACAACTGCAAGGCCAAACAATGTGGGTGCCATCACGCATCCCTGTTTAACGCCGCAGGTCAGGGGAAATTGCTCTGTGTGATCGTCTTTGTGTTAAACCCAGACCATCATGGCCGGGCTTCCCAAATCATAATCTTAAAATCCTTTATTATAGTCTCCTGGAACATAAGAACACTCCTGGATAGCTCCTCGAATTCATATCCGGAAATAAAAATCGCTTTCATTGCCCGAGAGATCATGACCTCCAGACCGTCAATAACTCCAGGCAAACTTCTTCACCTAATAAGCGTATGACAATTGAAAATTCCCGACTATGACAATTTCTGATGAGGACAAGAGCAAGTTCTACGAGGACCTTAGTTTAGTACCAAAAAGTGACAAAATCATTCTGCTTAGCGATTTTAATTCCCGCGTCAGTGCGGAGTATGGTTCTTGGAGAAATGTTCTCGGCCGTCATGGAGTGGGCGGTTGCAACTCCAATGGACTTCTCCTGCTAAGTCAATCTCAGCATAACTAACACCTTTTTCAGACTACCAGACAAACACAAAATATCATGTATTCACCCAACCCATCATTGGCCTTAGAACTTGAATAAGCATGTACGAATAATACATATTAATTAGGTAAATTACATTTATTCTTCAATTTTCTTTACAATGCATAAAATACACAGAATTGTATATCGTAAATGATCTAGAAGAGAAACCAGCAAAGAAAATAATGTAGTACGACTTATCACATTAAGTTTTACCTGATAGCACTTCGCTACTATCCCATTCTAGTATAAACTGATTACTATATTAAGAAAGAGTGCTAGCATCATTGCTGAGCTTTGCTATACTCGTAATATCTGTTATATAATTTAATATCAAAAATTCTACACTCGTAAAGTTGTATTATAAGCGAGTACCTAAATATAAATATAAAGATATGGAAACAGTTCAATTAAGAAATTCGATGAAAATAATAAAGCTTGCTAATTTATAAAATGCTAACAACATCCATTAATTATTATAAATACATACATGCATACTTGAGACTTTTTTATGCTCTAAAATGTTTTTGCCAAAAACTTTCAAGATTTAGCCACAACATAACCTTTCTTTAGAAAGAGTAAGTTAGTTATCAATTATTAATTTCGGCCATAAACCGACCTTCTAACTTGTTTTTATCTCATATTCATAGTTATAATAATAATAACATTTAACACATCTCACACACGGTACCAACGCAGTGTAGTTTTAAAGTCGTTATACTGTTTACAGCCTCAAGCGTTGGAACTCAGTGTGAAATTACAGCTTTGTTAGCATCTTTTTCTATTAAATGCGATAAAGAATACATACATGTTCATTACTCCGTATTTGTATTGGTTGTGGACTCCGGTTTCCGCATTTAGACTTAAGAATGGTCCTTTATGCGTCAAGGAAAGATTGGCTAGGTGACCCACCAAGCAGAAACCTCCTCAGGCGTTCATAGGCTTCTAGGAGCGATTTTGTATCTCTATCTATTATGTTATATGTTTTGTATATTAGAAAGAAAAATAAATGCATGTTACTAATATTGACAAAGTTGTCTTTAGTCTGCGCACGTTTTCAAAGCCCAAGTTCAAAGCCTACAACAAATTCGAACGTCGTAGAACCAAGTACCTATCGTTATTTAAATGGAGTTTAACTCCTGTGTATAAGCAGGTTTAATCAAACAACGAATATAATTATCAGAATTTAGATTTTAATATAGATATATACTTCGAATAAATTCCGTAACATAATGTTTATTCACTTCATTACTTTCAAAGCCCATTTTTTAGTTACAGCGAGGATTCAGAGAGCATGTCCTACATTCAAGTCACGTTGGGCAACTTTATATTTCAAACCGCGAGCTTCGTGTGAGTAATTTAATAAGGGGAAGTGATTTTATGTTATGTTTATACACTACGTTTAAATAGTCCTATTTTAAAACGTTGATATACCAAATTACTCTGCCGATCTCTCTCGAAAGCTATTAGTCGGATTTGAATATTCACTTGGACGTTTCGTTTCACATTTATTGAACAATATGTATGGCATCACGATATGAATCTTAGGAGCATAGCAAGTGAAGTTCTATCTAATACAAATATTTAAATTGTATAATATATGTAGAATCAATCTTGTCCACCACCTTCTTACCAAAGAGTTTGAAAAAATAATCACCTCACATACGCCTTTTTTTTCCGTGCGGAAATCCCCTCGGATACCACCTATCGGTGGTATTAGTAATAATAAATTTATCTAATATTAGCTGACTCACGCATCTTCGTCTGCGTCTTTTAAAAGGAATAAATTTTCCCCGTTTTTATAACATTCTTCATTGGTGCTCCGCTCCTATTGGTCTTAGCGTGATGATATATAACCTGTAGCCTTCCTCAATAAATGGGCTATCTAACATTGAAAGATTTTTTCAAATCGGACCAGTAGTTCCTGTGATTACCGCGTTCAAACAAACATACTCTTCAGCTTTATAATATTAGTATAGATTTTAAGAGAATTTACGAGTAAGTGAACTCTACTTGTATGAAATCATATTTATAATTAATCAATTTAGTCGTAGTAGTTTAAATATCATTAGAATCTTCTGTATTCTTTAAAGAATACATTTTTTAACTGGGATGTTTCATAAACTTTCCATCATGTCCTCACATGAAGCACTCTACAGTCGTAGATTGTTCTTCATTCATTCATTTTCACTTTACCATTGATGATCATTATCATCAACAGCATTTAATAGTCTACTGCTAAAAATAGGCCTCTAGGAAAGGAGGTTTTAGCCTACTAAACAACACTAGTTAGGCTAGTTGGTATAGGGTTTGTGTCAAGTTTTCTTTGTATTTTTAGTGCTGTTATCTCGCTTAGTTTGCTTCCTTAGTTGGCTCTTACAATACCCACGGGATGAATAGGGGTGGTGACACTTTGTGTTCTTAGTCATCACCACATGGACACTTCTATTATATTACTAATTATATCTTACCGTTTACCTGGAATGTTCGAATGAATATTTATTTGTCAAGTAAGTTTGTTTGGCTTCTAGACTGCTCACGTGTAGGTTGATGTAGAATGCCCTTCTATATAGCATAAACGTTTAACATTCTTAATTTCGCCTTATTCCATTCCTCCGCAAATATTTTTATCCTGTGTTCACAAAGCCGAAGAAGAATTTAGAAATAAAATATAATGTCTATCAATCTTTCCAAACTTTACTTTGGCTAGACATCTGCAAAAACTTCGTCAAACTTTTATTATTATATCAGAAAGTAACACAATAACCTAGATACACCTTCGTTGAAATAACTTTAACTTTCCACTTATTTCGTAATATAATAATACACAAATGAATAGAATTTGTAGCGAAAGTATAAGAGAATACCAAATAAACTAACAAGTGTGCAATCTTATTTACATTCTGTGGTTTTGACAAAACATAGATTGTTGTTATTGTGTGTGTTTATCTATGAGTTTAGAGTCTACATAAAAGGCGATTTCAAACAATTAAAAAAAATGAAATAAAGAGAGTTTAACTTCATATAGTTAAAGAAGTATACGTTTGCCACAGCTTCAAAATTCAACAGCACAAGTTTTGTAAAAATACATAATTATACACAGCATGGCTATAATAAAGTAAAATATGTAATGGTAGCGTCTTTTAGTGTTCCATACGTAGAAGTTTTAAAGCGGAGCCCTTATAGGTTCACTCGTGCATGTACCTGTCCATCTCTCACAGCCGATTGCTCTATATCTGCTGAACCGATTAAGTTTATATATGACCTCACCTCCTCTTTACCTGACCCGTAGTCCCTTTTATCTATATGACCATTATCTATATTGAATTAAATAAACTGATATTAAAACAAAAAAAGTTTTTTTACTTAGAATTAAGAAAACCTACAAGCAGTCAATTATATAGTTAAGCGTGTTGACAAGGTCTGTATTGGTACTGGTTGGTATTTAAAAAAGTAAATATTCTATATTTAACAGTTGAAGGGCACCAAAAATGGTAATTAGAATGTTCTAATAAAGAAGGCTATTACTTTCGTTAGTGTATATAACCTATTCTAAATGTAAAATAATAGTGTGCAAAAGATTGTGATTGTTCGGTTTATTCGTTTGATTTCTGCATCATACAAAGTTTAAATATATGTAGGCTCTGTCAAACATAGTGCGGTGATCCTTAAACCAACATATGGCCTTGCTCAAACAATCTCTCAAACCAAGTAAAAAAATTAAGATAATTAAGAAGAGATTGATGATATATTCTAGTCACCGCCTCTGGCTTAATTCTAACGATGTAAAGTTAAATTGAAGTAATTAGTGATTCAACCTCAAAACTTAACTTGACAAGTCGTTATGAAAGTACTAGAAGTAATTCATAATAAACATAGAGTATTAAATAATAGTAAAGGATGTTACTTTTATCTAGAATGCCGTCAAATCTACTACTACTACTTGGTTCACTAATTAACTTTCTTATTTTTGTACTGTGTACATATGTTCTTATTTTTGTACGAGCTTAACCCGTAGTTGAGTTCGCTTCCAGCAAAACTATGAGTGAAGGGATGATACATGCACAAAAAGAGAAAGTCATGTGTACAGAGAAATTTGTTTTATGATATAGGGAGCTAACAAATACTCGTAGTCACCTTCTCCTAAGTGACTTCTTGAACGTTTAGCGGTCGTGTTGGTCCGGAAATACCGCAGGCAATAATTTGATAACTTAAATTATTTATTTAATTAACTTGAATAATATACAGTTTCTTATAATTATTTAGCAACTACTTATGTAACTAAAAACCATTTCTGAGTTTTTGAATGTATTTATTTAATGCTTGATTGTATTTAACATAAAGAAATACATTAAAAAACTCAGACAGATCGAGAAAAGATTCGAACCATTATGTAGCCAAGTATAAAATTGTAATAAATAATTTAATAGTAATATCTCTATAACCAAATTTAACCCACTATTCGTTTATTCAACAGTATTTATATAAAAGCGGGTCGTAAATCAGGAAGAGGAGTCTGTGGATCCCCACTATTCGATTTGGTGACCATTGTCACTATAGGTTCTATTTGTATCCCTACTGTGAACATTTATACATTTTAACCGGGTTACTCATATTCCAGATATTCAGTATTATAATAATAAATGGTACATAATAACAACTGGTTTCATTTAATTCACTAACCGTGTTCGAACATACTTTTTGAAATAAACATCATCAAAATATTCCAGTGTAGATTTCTTTTTATACTATATACGTTTGTAATGATAAATATATTGATTATTTCGTACAAAATGTTGTGAATAATAAATGTTAGTATTTGAAAGTTAACACACACACATATTCGTGCATCGATATTAAATGAACGACAAACCATTTCATCACAAATCATTAAAAAATCATTTCGAATACCCAAGGGTATTATCTCCATTACCACAAATTAGTAATTTAATTCAACTGGTACACTCATGTGTAATACTCGT